CGTAAACAAACTCTCAGGTGGGATTTCTTTTTTGTTTTAAGAATAGCACAATATCCTTAGGACAGTTGGACATCATCTGGCTTGCTCAAAAATCTCCCAATGTCATCGCATAAAGCAATGTGCAGACATTAAATCATCAACTTTTGTCTATCCAAAACAATAGCACCAACTTAACTGAAGTTGACACAAAATAAGCTGAGAAGAAGTGGCTTTTTTGCAGACTGGGTACTCATCCACTAGTGAGGGCAGAAAACGAACTTCTGCTTTTGTAGGCTTTCATACAACCGTTTTAAGCTATATGGGCCTAGCACATAATCAACATTGCCTGGTTTAAGCAGCCTAAATGTAGCTGAAAAAAGATAATTTTCCAGCCAACTCTGTTTTATAATTGTAACCAGAATGTCATGATGGGACTTGATGGGGTTGTTGGTCTATAAAAACAGAAAAAAACTATAAGTTTGAGCCATTAAAGAAGACTAAATTACACAAACATTAGATACTGTGCTATCTAGCAGGTAAAAAAGCTATAATGAGAGAACTGTAGCTGTTTTTTCCTTTCAAAACTTGTCATTTTATGTACTGTATGTAAAACTTATGTGATGGTTTTTATGGTTTTTGTCTCCGTCTGTTGTCCTCATTCTCGTCTTTCTTTCTTTCTTGTGCAAAGCATTTGAAAAAACGCCACGAGGAATAATGTTCCAACTTTCTTGCTTGTTAGCATACAGTGTTCTGCACCTGCAAGACTTGCTTCTTTTCACCAGATGTGTGAGGACATTGATGTTTTGGAAACCCAGGAAAGGTAAACTACTTCTCGGGAATTATTGTTAAAAAGAAATGTCGAGCGTCTTTACACCATGTTGAAGTCTCTGCCCCCTGGTGCACACTGGGATGTGCTTGTTGGAGAAAAAAGTAAACTGTCTTTGTTAACATCTGCCAGAGGAACACACAGTGCCAAATAGCTGCAAACAAGCACACACAAAAATAAAGAAACAATATCAAATTCTCCATTATGTTTTGAACCAAATCCTTGTACACCGCAAACAGTTTGACAGACAGGCACAGAAGTAAAAAAAAAAAAATATGCAGCTACTGTATTTTTGTTTATCCAGCCAACAAAGACACCCAGCCAACATCAAAACCCCCTGTTCGAAACTCGCTGTGAAGCTGTCCCAGTCGATGTGGTGAGACATCTGTTTGTAAAAAGCTCAGCAGTTGTCTGTGACATTGCTTGATGGTTTTTGTACACTTCTGTGGAAACAGAGTTTCAAAAGTTAGCGCTGGTATCCAAGATGAAAAATGTGGTTATTCTGACAGTGCTCCTCTTAGTCTGCACCTTTCCTCTCATTTCTATTTCCTCTGTTCCAGTCAGTCTGTTTGGCTTCACTTCTGCATGCGAGGTCAGGGTTCTTAATTCATGTCCAGAGAAATCGTTTCCTCGTTCCCTGACATGTAGAATGAGGGAAGCCATCTAGACTCACCATACATCGAGGCTAGACTGCATCCTCCTCTCCCACCCACTCCCTCCTCTCCCACCCACTCCCATCTTCTAAGGAACGTGCGATAGGGAGACGCGCTGCAGACGCTCCCCCAGCGGACCCTCTGATAACCCTCCTTCCATATCCCAGTCGAGGAACACTGGCGGCCTGGATATCGCCCAGCCGGAAAGGAATAATGAGAACAAAAGCAGAATACATGGCCTTCTTTCTCTTCCAACCCTTCCCTCCTCCTCCTCCTCCTCCTCATCCTCCACCTCCTCCTCCGTCCTGAGCGGTTTTCTCTTGTTCTGTTTCATTTTCTCACACTCGCCAGCACATTCTGCGCTGGCCTTCAGAGGACGGCAGACAGAGAATGAGGAGAGTGGAAGGGTTGGGTGAAATGATTGAGAGACGGGGAGCGGAGATATTCCACTAGCCCCGCGACAAGGTCCCTTCTCTGTGCTTTGCAAACAGTCATTTTGTTCAGTATCTTTACACTGATCTTAAGGTAATAAACTGGGGTTGACATTGCCCAGGGTCTCCATTGGCATTCTGCTGGGCCTGATAACAAAGTGTGCAGGAACAGATTGCTTAAAAAGATAGAACGGGCGCTCCACACAGAACCTGGAGCTCTATTAGATGTTGATTCAGAGGCTTAATGCAGATAAAGTCGCTCGGCACATGCTGTACAAGATGTAAGTCTATACATTGATGTGTAATATTTTTAATCTGATATTTATCAGGTTAACACAGCTCTCCGCCTGCCCATCAATCAGATGATTGACATCCAACATGCAGTGCGTGCACATGAATGTTTTTTAGAGCTTTTGTTGATGGGAGGGTGAGAATGTATGTGTGTGTTTGTGTGTGTGTGTTTGTGTGTGTGTGTTTGTGTGTGTGGCAAGAGAAAAGTCAATCACATGAAGAGCTGCTTCACAGATTTCAGGTCTGCTCTCCAGACGCTCTTATCACATTGTACTTGAGGACAAAACATTATACAAGTGTCCTGTAGATTGATCGGAGGGGAAAAAAGGATTTAACTAGTGATTACATTTATTGTGTTATAATATGCTTCATCATTTAGTTATTTTATGTCTTCACATGCATACATAATCTGAGTTAACAGACTTAAATCAGGCCTTTCAAAGGCTAGATTTTTTTTTAAATTGCAATGAATTGCAGTTATGAATTTTCAGAAGTTATTCACGATTAATTACATTTATAAATGTATGTTTGAACGTCCATCATTTTGCATTTCAAAACTGCTTTTGTTTCGTTTTTATTTTCTGTTTTTTACTGTTTCAAGCTTTACTTCTTGTTTGATTAAAAACCTGCTTCTATTTTGAAAAGAAATAAGGAATGTCCGGTAGCTCAAAAGTTAAGATATTAACTTAACAACGGAAAACGGAGACTCACAACGGATGAAAAAGTGAATGAAAACAGCTAAAAGAAACATTGATTTCACAAAGAGGATATTACTGAGCTGTCTGGGAGTACTCAAAGTGAAATGAGTCGTTTAAAGGCACCGCAGTGTTGTTAATGTCCATCACTCTGGTGTCAGAAAGACACTATGGTGGATTAACTGTGGTGAGCGGAAAAGAGAGACAAATGGCATGCGATTAAAAAATAATGAATGCATTCATTTCGGCCTTAATCGCATCGTGATTGAGGCACAAACGCTGAGAATTCTACAACTCACTTAGCAGACGCTTTTATCCAAAGCGACGTACATCAGAGAGTAAAGAAAACACAAGCCAGGATCTACAAAGGGCTTTAAGTCTGATCGGACACACAGGCGCTGACAGGCAGAGGCAAAGACATCAACAGCTGTTCTTGAGAGTTCTAATCAGCATCAAAACCATCCTAAATAACATAATGTGTCATTATCAAAAACAAAACCATCATCATCATCAATATCATTAAGGTCGTAGGTGTTCATGAAAGAGCTGGGTCTTTAGCTTTTTCTTAAAGGTGCAAAGGGACTCTGCAGATCCAATGGAGTTTGGTAGTGTGTTCCACCACCGGAGGGCGACAGAGGAGAAGAGTCTAGTTAGAGACTTAGGGGGATCAGACGCCTTTCATTAGCAGAGCGTAGTGGGCAGGAGGGAGTGTAGACCTGGATGGTAGAGTTTTGGTAAGGAGGAGCTGTTTTTTCTCGCTGCTTTGATGCGAGCAGTAACTGGGAGCCAGTGGAGCGACATGTGCTCTTTTGGGTAAGTTGAAGACCAGTTGTTGCTGCTGCATTTTGTATCATCTGCAATAGTTTGATAGTGCATGCAGGAAGACCTGCCAGTAGGGAGTTGCTGACAGCAGTACTTTAAATATTTTATTGCTGGATGACCTCATGGAAACAACTTCATTTTTAGAGCTACTCTGATGCACAATTTCTGAGATTAGTTCTACACCCATTTTTGGATGGGAAAGATTCTGAAACTTTGGATTTTTTTCAAGCAAGAATGTATATCAACTTGTTCTATCTGGTTTGTCTAAAGGTTTTTTGCATTGATAAGTCCTTGTAAGAGTACTAAGAAGGCTGTTTCTGAACAAATAAAATTATTAAAGATTGAGTCAACTTTGCTGTAAAGCTGCTCTGCTGCAGACAGCGGTGAGAGTGTTGAATAGAAGGTGTTCATAGCACACACTGCTTGACAGACTACATGATGACATCATTTTTAAATTGCTCAGTGTGTTCTGTAGTACATATTCTAAAAGTTATATAAAATATATATACATCCAACAATGTATGATTGTGCTGATATGTCGTGATAGGCTGATAACCTATTAATATCTGATTAATATGTTGGTGAAGTTTTTCTATTTCACCCCCATATAGGAAATCAGTTTATGGCCAAAATGTCTCAAATGTAACATGAATAAATAACTTATCTGTGCATAGGAATCCCTGAACTACAGCAAAAGCTCTCTAAATAAAAGCAGACATCATAAAAGTTCAAGCTATTGGTAAGAAAGAAGAAAATAATTGTTGCCTTCCCTCTTGGATTTTTAGATTATTTACAGGTTTTAATCAATTGATGGCTTTGCACCAAGGGTCACCTCAGACCTCCAAATCCTGCAATCTTAAGCTTACCCAAAAGTGGAAAGTTTTATGACAGAAAAGTGCCCGCAGTGTGCATGAGAGAGTAACAGCGGAAATAAGTTTGTGTCATAAAACCGGGTCAATTGATTTCTCTGAAACAGCCTCGCATTACATTCACGGTCACTTTTGATTTGCTGATTTGCTTGGTTACAGTGTTGCTTATTTTCTGTATGAATGGTCTACTTATTTTTTTAATTCTTATGATTTAGACTTTATAATAGAACTTCCTGGATCTTTATCTTTATTGATTTTCTCAAACCAGCTGAAGACAGCTTCTCACTCCCTCTCTACTGTTGGGCTTTATTCAATTTTTAAAATATTGTCTTGACCATGGCTTTATGAAACAAAACGATCGCTTGTGCTGTAACAAATTGCTGCCTCTCCTCCCAGTATTGACTCTCTGTTTTTCTGTGTAAATGTTCCAGGTTGCTGTTCGCCCGCCCCTGTGATACTCCGAGGAGCCCCTTCCTGTTTCTGTAGATTACAGCATGTGGACTGATCCGATACTCTGACCAGAAACCAGCGGACTAAGACAACTGAGGGGAGGGGGAGACGAAAGGACAGGCGTGGTGGTGGTGGTGGTGTGGCCATGGATGGAAGGAGAGTTTGCGTGTTGATGGCGCTGTGGGTTTTAGCTCACCTCAGCTCTCCGACTTTCGGGCTCAAAGCCCTGCGAAGGACTACAGGGGGGCGGAAGGGGTCCACGGGGCTGACGGGAGAGGACGCCAATGGAGTGCCCCTCAGGCGCTCCAAACGAGGCTGGATGTGGAACCAGTTCTTTTTGTTGGAGGAGTACACCGGGACGGACATGCAGTACGTCGGAAAGGTAGCACTACATCCTACTCTCTGTTTTCTTTTTCTGTTCCTTATCAAACACCTACAGGACCACATCTGTCACATCTGCAGAACAGGAAGTTATAGACAACAGCTGCTCCATATGAACACACTCATGCACATATATGATCTGATATACCTGATTCCAGTATACCCGGATTAAGCAGCTCCATCAGATATCACAGATGAGTCCACCACAGATTAGCTCATCTGCTCTAGATCTAAACGTTTTAGTTTGACATAAACACGCTTTGTCTGTTTAAAAAAAAAAATTGCTTTAGGACTGTTTTCTGACCCAGGACCAGCAGAAACTCAGGCTGCTATACAGACTCGTACACATTGTGTGCTGTCTCTTCAGTCGATTTGATGTTCTCTTAACTCAAGTTGCTGCTATATTTTCCATCCACAGAGCACTTTGGTGGATGCAACAGTGGGATTTGTAGTTTTTACTCTAGTAGGAATGGTAGCTGCCCCCCCCCCGAGAGACCTAAACCAATGTGACTTTAATCCAAATTTAAACTATGTTACTATTTTCGTTCAGTCTCTGACAACAGTTTGGTCAGTGTGGAATAAAGGAAGTGATCTGTGGTGGGTGTCAGCAGCCTTAACAAGTCACCGCAGTTAAAGATGAGAAAGAAAACAAGTGGCACATCGAGAAAGTTCATCATTAAAAAAGACGAAGATACTGACTTTAACTGAGGAGTTCTCGATCTCTTTATAAAAGCACACAGACTGGAAGTGAGTGGGTTGACAAGGCCAAGTGGACAAGTGATCTCTAAGAAGTGTATGCATCAGACCTCCTTAATGTGAGATGTTTACAACAAGCAGAAAGCAACAACTCAGAACTCACAGATCATACCGTTACACTGACCTGGCCTGTGGGCTCCAAATCTTTAGATTTTGGTTTTAAGATTGCAATTATTCCTTTTTTCTTTTTTTTAAGATCAGAATCTGAAGATTTGCACATTAATTTATCTCCCTTTCTCTTTTCTTTTTGATTGTTTAACTTTTCTTGGGTTTCATCTTCTCAGTGTCCAAAAAGCCGCCTGGAACACAACTTGAACTCATCACATGCCGACATGTTGAAAGTTTCTATTTTTGTCCATTTAAGAATATCATGGTCTGCTCCTGTGCTGTCGATACAAAGGCTATTCATGGAAACAGAGTTCTGCTTAATTTTCATTTTAATACTCCTTATCCGCCTATTCAAATTAATGCAAATGTCTCCATGCTGGTATTGTTTTATTTGCATAACAGCCAGACACACAATTTTGAGACATTTTCTTCAAAAGCAAACATAAAGGAGACGTACCAAACCTTTGTTTTGATCAAAATTGATCAACCAAAGGTTTCCCATAAATGTATATCGTTGATACAGAATTGTGATTTAAGTATAAAATGTGGATATTGATAATGAACTTGAATAAATTCAATATTTTTCCCTCAATGACAGAAATAAACAGCACAACAAGCCTAAGATAGCACGCACACATTTGAATCTTTTCAAACCGCTGCTTTCCTAATGGGAGTCACATAACCATTACTTCATATCCCATCTAAAGCTTTGCACTAATGATGCTAGCATCAACCTCTGCTGACATTTTTTTCATCAAAGGAGCATTGAGGAGCCACTGATTTTTGACTTTTTTTTTAAACTGAGTGAACAATAACAAATTGAAGGAATCTTAATGCGAAAACAAAGCTAACTTTGCTAGCACAGAAAACCGTTTTTCCAGAATGAACAGATTCCTAAAGAGTATCGGAGAAACTAAAGTTCAAACATTGTTCCAGAGAGGAGAACTCGGCTTTGGAAAGATGTGATAGACACCATTGGAGAATTCATTGGTTACACCATTGAACTCTTGTTTCCAAAGGCTTCTGTCTTTACCATCAAAACTATACCTTACAATCAAAGTTATATCTAAATATATTGAGATACTGAACAGTAAATTATCATGCACATATTTTGCACATGTCGCCCAGGCCTATGACAACTCAAAGGACAAGCCCTTAATGAGATGCTTCAAAATAAATACAATCCCGTATATGACTGTATCGTTCTGTCTGCGAGGATACGAAGATCAGCCCATCATCAGAGAGTAGACATGACAAGCTGCTCCAATCGGCTAATGCTCATATATCGGACTTCCATCCAGCTATCCTCGGGCTTTGTTTTGCTGTTGGCTGTCCGATACGTTTTTGTGCTTGCTTGTCAGCTCTGTGGTTGCTTTGCCGATGTCCATTCCACTCACATCACGCCCGTCCTAAAGCGGCCGCCTTGCCCTACGGTGAAAATATGACTTCCTCCCAAGGTATTATTTGTTCAACAAAATGAAAACACAATGTCGCCCCAGATAACATTGGGTGGGGTGGGTGGGGTGGGTGGGGGTGTACAAGAAGATGGGCCAAATAATGCGTGCTTTACAGGCAGCCGTGCGGAAGTCAAGATATCCGTCTCCTCTTCCAAACCTACTGTAATTGAGGAGATTGTTGAAGCATCGTTGCAAGGTCAGGACGACTGAGGGGAGGAAGAAAGGCTGTTTTGTGCTCGGAGCTGAATGGGACTGGTGCTTTGCATTCCTATCGTGCGTCCGCGGAGGATAGAGCCGTCCAACCAAATGAGATTCCGAAACATACGTCCTCCCTGGCTTGAGGGTTGACTTTCAGCCCCCCGGACTAAAAGGATTACAACGCTCGCTATGGTATGAGGCGAGCAAATACAGGGGGGAAAGAACAAAAAAAAAAAAAAAAGTTGAAAAGAATGAGGGAAAAAAGACGGAGTGAAAGAAGATCAAAAGTAAGTACCAAGCGTGATCAAACCACTTTGTCTGTAGAGAGTGGTGATTGATGTGCCACTCGTCCTTTTAGCTTGTAAAAAGGACTAATAGCAAAAGGAGAATGGATTATCTGAGTGTGGTATACACTTAAAGAGCCAGAGGCTGCGGCCTAAGAGTCCGTCTCCTGAAGACGCCATTAAGGGATCAACCTCTGAGCACCACACTTAATCATGACTCTGAGCGCTTGTTGTTTCCCCCCCCTCACCCCCACCAACCCCCACCAAGTACATGCAGCTGGGCGCACTTCCCTCATTGTCAGCTCTCTAGCCAGTTGTCACATAGGATTGCAAGTGCGTGGATCTTATCTGATTGCAATTACTGTTTGTGAATTACCAGATAAAGTGCTGGTGATGAACGAGGCCCTAAAAAAAAGGAATGAATGGCTTTTGAGTTGAGCACATGGTTTCAACTTGGATAAAAACGGAGCAGCCGCCGTCCTCAGGTGGAGGCCGCTTTTCACACAATGCAGAGGAAACTTTTTGAGAAAACACAAAAGAAAAAGCTTTTTGTCATTGCAAGTGACATAATGGCACCCGGAGAAACACAGCATGGGACAACAAAAAACACTTTTGTTGGTGCGGGAAAAAAAAAACGAATCAGAAATAACACAATGGCAGGTTATTATAAGCAAGGGAGCAGCTCTTGACACACGGTAAAAGATAGAATGATGACACCGTGCTTAAATTACAACATCCCATCCCACAGTTATTTGGTAAACCCAATCTCCCCTGGTTGTTTTTTCTCTCTTCTCCCCCCCCCCCCTTCAACTTGCTTTATCGAGTTGTGTGGCGCTAACAAACAAAAACTTTAATCTTTCCTGAACGAGAGTAACAAAAGGCAGCGGGGAACAGGAAGGAATTAAGAGAAGCGATCGAGATGAGGGAGGAGAAGAAAAAAAAGGAGACGCTGGCGGTGTCTCGTCGGGGGAGCTGGTTGGCTGCTAATCTTGCTAATCTTGCTCTATTGGCCAATGATTTTTTTTTTTTCTCCTCTCCTGCAGGAGGGGGAATTGTACACTGCCTCTCATTAGCAGGCGAGCTGCATACACGCCTCGGAGGGCCCTGGCTGTCACTGGGGGAAGAGAATGTTTGTTTATTTCATTATTTCTTGCTTTACCAAAGGGCACACATCCACTGAAAAATGGTTAATGGCCTGTGGTTTAGGAGTGTTTGTGCTGTACTATCATATCTCATAAAGTATTTACAGCGCCTGATAGGCCCCAGTGGTTCTAGGCCTGTTGGGTAGACTCCTCAATGTAGTCCCTAGCATTAGAGCGTGCATGCAGACACACATGCCTGCAACACTGGGGCCCCCCAGAAATGAGGCTGAAAAATCAGGGGAGAGAGAGAGAAAGAAAGAGAGCAGACGAACAACAACATAATACGCTTCCCCGTTCTGTATGACTCAGCAGGCTGAAGCGACCTGTGGGGAAGGACTCGATGCAAGCAGAGTGGAAAGGTGCAGGGATTTGTGTGTTTATTTGGTGGGGGGATGGGGGGGGGGGGGAGTTGGTGTCTGTTCATGCTCCCCCATTACCAGCTGCTCACCTTGGCAAGGAGGCACGGAGTTTGCAATATGGCATAGGCCTTTGCTGTACCCGCGCCATGGCAGCCCCCGCGGTCTCCAGCGGCGACCTGGAGCACACATTGGCAGTGTTTGTTGATTAGGCGATAAGTTTCCGCATGTGTGCTAGGAGGAGGATGAGGATGGGGGGGGGGGGCGACTTCAATTATGGAGGAAAGGGTGTGATGAGGTCGTGCAGAGATGAGGCCCCGGCAAACATCTGTCCGACAACATTGCAAGGGGGGAAGCAATGTCTGCGCGAGATATACGCCAACAACATCAGCACACAGCACCTTCAATTGTTTCCGCGCTATCGCCTGCCTACGACTGCTCTGAACACCTGTTGCTTTTGTCAGGGGGGAGATTAATTGATTTTTCATAATCAAACGCCGCGTTGCTTTTTCTCTGCAGTCAAGCTGTTAGTCGACCAAGTTTGATTCACATAAAGGAAATCAGATATGGGAGATAAGCAGGGCTGTAGACAAGATCTTAGATATGCTGAGGGCAGGAGCCCAAAGCCCCCCGCTGGACCCTTTAGTTTCAGATAAATGAAAAATAATGTTATCTCGATTCATTCTCTTAACTCACATTA